ATCCACTCACCTCAGCCTCCCAAAGGCGTGGGACTACAGGCTGAGCCACTGAGCCCAGCTTTACGTGTATCTTATTGGTTCTGTTCCTCTAGAGAACCCTAACAGCATACACTCACAGCTGTTTTAAGCTGTATAAAAATAGGAAACAAAGTTGGGCGCCGTGGCTCATGCCTGTAATCCCAGCACTTTGGGAGGCCGAGAAGAGGGGACTGCCTGAGTCCAGGGGTTCAAGACCAGCCTGGGCAACTTGACAAAACCTTGTCTCTACAAAAATCAAAAAATTAACTGGGTGTGGTAGCATGCACCTGTGGTTCCAGATACTTCGAATGCTAGATGGAAGGATCGCCTGAGCCCAGTAGGCTGAAGCTGTGGTGGCTGTGAGCGTGCCACTACACTCCAGCCTGGGTGACAGAGTGAGACTCTGACTAAAAAAAAAAAGGAAATTGGGTCCACTTTAAAACAAAATCTCAAAGATGAAAAGAGAAGGTTGGCAGACCCAAAGAAACAAACTCAGGACTGAGGTAAACTAGACTGTGCAGCAAATATTCCCTTCCTTTCATTCCATCTCTGTGAGAGAAAGACGAAGTCCGACAAATTTGGTTCGCGAACCATCATGGCTTTATATCTCATTGCTATCACTACAGTCACCCTCAAAGTACTTCCCTTGGGAAGCTCTGCACCGATGCCAGCACCTAGTCCACCCATTAAAGCAATTTTGGACCTCTTTTTCTGGAATGGTCAACAGAGCTGTCATCGTATTGCACTTCATGCCCTGAATACCATCAAAATGTCTTCCTTTCAATATTTCCTTTATTTTAGGGTAAAGAAAAAAGTCATTGAGGGCTAGATCAGGTGAGTAGGTAGGGTGTTACAATTGTTATTTCTTTTTCTTTTTCTTTTTTTTTAGTTGGAATCTCACTCTGTCGCCCAGACTGGAGTGCAGTGGCTGCTCCCGGCCACTGCAGCCTCGACCTGCTGGGCTCTGGCGATCCTTCCACTGCAGCCTTTCAAGTAGCTGTAACTACAGGTGCGCGCTACCACGCCCGGCTAATTTTTGTATTTATTTATTTATTTTTTTGAGTTGGAGTTTCACTCTGTGGCCCAGACCTGCTGGGCTCCGGTGACCCTTCCGCCTCAGCCTTCCAAGTACCCGGAATTACAGGCATGCGCTACCACACCTGGCTTTTTAAAAAATTTTATTGTAGAGATGTGGTCTCGTCAAGTTGCCCAGGCGGATCTCGAACCCGCAGGCTCAGGCAATCCACTCACCTCGGCCTCCCAAAGCGCAGACCGAGCCCAGCTACAATTGTTATTTCTTTACTGGTTAAAAACTAACACCCTCACAGATGGTGCTGTGTGAGCTGGTGCATTGTCGTGATGCAAGAGCTCCTTTGGGACCATTTTTGCACATATCTTTTTCATGCCAAGATTTTTAGTTAAGATTTTCCTGTCTCTCTGTGTTTATTTGGTATGCTATGCTTCTCACAGTCAGCCAATGATTTTGATGCACAGTTCGATAAATTTTTGCAATGTTTTAATCAGTTCTGCTCATTACTGGCTGTCCTGACCTCTCTCCCTCAGTGACACTTTCTGTCCTCTCGTAAAACCGTTTAATCCATGTGTACACTGCTGTTTTCTTCATGGCATTATCCCCATAAACTTGGACTAACATGTCCCTGATCTCACTTGCACTTTCGCCAAGTTTACTAAGAAATGTAATGTTTATTTGTTGCTCCAATTCAAACGTTCTCACGATGATGGCTCTGATGGCCATTCCAGAAAAAGTTCTCAAATTGCCTCGACAGATGGACTAGGCACTGGCATCGGTGCATAGCTTCCCAAGGGGAGGACTTCGAAGGTGACTGTGGTGATATTCAGCAATGAGGTATGGAGCACTTTTTCTAGGATGAGTTCACGAACTTCATTGTCTGATCTTGTACCCTTCCCCACCCTGTGGTGAGTAGAATGTAGGTACCTGCCCCCTTGACTTCAGACTTGGTGATGTGACTTTCTTTGACCAACGGACAGTAGCAAACATGAGGCCACCAGACACCTGAAATATGCTCACCATTTGGGCTTGATCTCTTGCATGGATGCCTTTTGTCATGCGACAGTGCCCTGGGTGGCCCAGTGGTGCATGAAAGATAGGAGGGAGGCAGAACCGGTCTTACCACCCCTCTTACGCAGCTGACACAAGGACCCCACACCACGTGCAGCAAACACACCAGAAATAGCGGGGACCAGAAAAGACGGGGATGAGAAACCAAATTGCTGACAAGTGGCAGAGATGAAAGCAATTAGAGAGAGGCAAACAGATGCGAAGGCCAAGTGCATGCCTGGCATCCTTGAAAGAACCGAGGACAAGAGCAGAAAAACGTACTCGGACACAGAATTCAGTAACGTGTCTCTGAAATGAAGACGGTCAACCCGCAGGTTTAAAAAAAAAAAAAAAGGTAGGCCGGGCGCAGTGGCTCAAGCCTGTCATCCTAGCACTTTGAGAGGCTGAGGCAAGAGGACTGCCTGAGCCCAGGGGTTCGAGACCAGTCTGGGCAACAAGGCGAGAGGTCGACTCTACAGTTTAAAAAAATTATCCAAGAGTGGTGGCGTGCGCCTGTAGCCCCAGCTACTCAGGAGGCTGAGGCGAAAGGATCGCCCGAAACCAGCAGGTCGAGGCTGCGGTGGTTGTGACCGGGACCCCCCTGCACGCCAGCCTGGACGACAGAGTGAGACTCCGACTCAAAAAAAAAAGAAAGGTAAAAGTGAAGCTCCTCGCACACACTCATCTAACCTTCACGGGAGGCCTCTAGCGCGGGCTAGGAGGGGTCGATGAAATTTGGGGAAACTGAGGCTCGGAGCCGGATGGGACTTTACTGTGGACACGAGGCCTACGAGGACCCTTCTGGTTGGTGTTATTAGAGGCTTCCTGCAAAACCGGCAGCAATAACGCCACGGCCTGGGCGACGGCCCGCTGATGGGACTGGGATCTCTGGAGCCTCGGAGGGGGCCTCGCCGGCGAGCCGGGCGGGACCGAAGCGCCGAATCTTGCGTGCAGGGAAAATCGGGACCGGATTACCCAGGAGCTGGACCCGGCGCCAAAGCAGCACAAGATTGGAAGGGACGGAGTAGCGAACGGATTCCCACTGGGAACGAGCGGGAAGGGAAAGCCTGGAACCGAGGCGCGGAAAAACCGGTCGCCGGGTGTGCGCTGGCGCCTGTGCCGGGGTCGTTTGGGTTTATTTCGAGCGAGACCGCGGGCCCCGACTCGCGCAGGCGCGTCGGCCTCGG